AGCTCTTATACAACACCTGTGTTGATCAAACGTTGAATAATAGCTTCCAGAGTTGTACAAGAATGTAGTTGTATTGCCATTTGGTTAAAAGCTTCAAAAACTGCTTGGAGCACTCTTAAATGATTGTTTACGTTCGGTTAAACTGTTTGACAGGAGCCATATAGGATGTGGAATAAACGCATCAAAACAAGTTGTTGTATTGCCTTTTTGGTTAGAAGCTTCAAAAGCTGCTTGGAGCACTCTTAAATGATTGTTTACGTTCGGTTTAACTATATGCTTTATAAGACCTACGATAACTTTTATAGCACCTTTGTTAAACTGATTGACAAGAGCTATATAGAACGTGAAATAAACGCATCAAAACAAACCATTGGAAGCTCTTATAAAACACCTGAGTTGATCAAACATTGAATAATAGCTTCCAGAGTTGTACAAGAATGTAGTTGTATTGCCATTTTGTTAAAAGCTTCAAAAGCTGCTTGGAGCACTCTTAAATGATTGTTTACGTTCGACCAACCACCAACCACAATTTTGTTGCTAAAAATAGCACGAGTGATAGGCACGTTATGACCATAAGGCAATGATTATTCGACTGCAAGAGAAGTCACTCAAGATGAGCTTCATATACTTCTCTCATATGATCAAAATATGTATTCAAGAATAGAGCAGATGGAAACAGAAGCGGCTGGCAATCCGGGATCATGAGTTCGAATCTTGCTTCGAGAAACCCTCGGAGGAGTAGAGGTAAATTATATATAGGTGTTATTAATAAATGAAAACATTAATTTAAGACATATATCATATAATCAACGATAACATTTCTAGATAAATTCTCTCAATTAATGATTAGAGAGATTAATTGAAAAAATATCAATCAAAGATTAAACAGATGCTTGTTACTACTTCCTCCATGATCACAGAATGTGAATTATGGCATAATTACATATTTTTTCAATGTGCACAAATAAATTAAATTAATAAAAACTGTACAAGCAATTATTTTGGCGTGCCACGACAATTGTTAAACTAATTTTAATCTGTGAATATTGTGAGTACTTACACAACGGTTATTAAGGAGTCATTAAAAAGTGCTATAAACGCTTTTCACCGCTTGCTGTATAGTGATTATTTAGGAGTCATAAAAGAGTGTAACAAACGCCTCTCAGGTTCAATCTCTAATACATTTCGAAGCAGCTGTTAGGAGGTGTCTACAAACGTTGTACACACAGAAAAAAATATTTTAAAAGTAATAAAATTCAACGTAAAATCAATGAGAATTTCATTCTGTTTTGGCTGCAAAAAGAAATCATTATTGTTTCAACAATCCAGTATTTTTGTTTCTTAAAACCCATGGATTGTTAAATCAAAAAGTAAATCTGTTAGAATTTACAAGAGCTTTCATGGTTTTGACGTAAGCTGTCAAATTTGGCAGCTGGGTCAACATCAAAAATATGTTTGTTTTTAAAAGAGATTTCTTGTTGATTCAATCATATTTATTTCATAAAGTATGACAATTCACGCAGTAGAAATAAAAATATAAAAATATGTTTATTGATGCAAAAATAATCTGGCAATGTTTTATGAAACAAAATTGCAGAAATTGCAATTGAATTTCTGAGGCATAAAATAAAAGCCCCCGGTTCATGAGTTGATGGGTCGATATGTAGGGTCCAGATGTGGGAGCTGCCTTCCTGGCGTCGGGAGCATTGGTACTCGTCAGTACGGAAAATATGGTCGACGGAAACAAATCAAGGAAATAAAAACAGAAACATTGATTATATTTATCAACTGCAGCTCGAATTGCAGCATACTTACTTACCTCAAGTCTCAAGATTTTCGAAAATCTTGCACTTATTTCCCGAAATTCACAATTAAAAACAATACTTACGTGGAACACGGAAGTATTGTTATTGTTTACATTTTTGTCCGGGTGAAAACGAGGGAATCGTTGGTAGCTATTTTTGCTTTCATGACCCAGAAAATGAACACAGCAAATAAATGCTAAATTAATATTAACTATTGTTGGCTTAATAATAGAATATTGTTATTTTTAGAATAGTTGCAGTTGAAAAGTGGCTGATTAAAACAAAAAGAATCCTATTTTGAATTTATATGAATAAGTATTATTGAAACAACAAAATGCAATATAATTTCAACCGGAATTGTTTGCTTAAATACAATTAAAGTTTTTTTTGGTTCAATGCAAACAATTTTCTGTCCGCGTATTAGAGCTTTCACCAAAACAATAAAGCTTGAGTTTAAATATGTATCTATAAACGTTGTATAAAAGTTGCTTCTATCCGGTTATTAAAGAGTCATTGAAAAGTGCTATAAACGCTTTTCACCGCTTGCTGTGCAACAAACGCCTCTCAGGTTTACTATCTACTAAATTTCAAAGCAGCTGTCAAGAAGTGTCTACAAACGTTGTATAAGAGCTATCACCATAATAATAAAGCTTGAGTTTAAATATGTATCTATAAACGTTGTATAAAAGTTGCTTCTACTCCTATACCGCGTATACATACACACTTAGAAATTATTACCGTATTCGGTAATTTTTCACCGAACTTTCAACAGCTGAACGTTCGGTAATCAGTTCGGTAATCGAAACGATTACCGAACGATCGGTAAACAGATTTTTTGATGAGTTGTCAAAATTACCGAACAATTCGGTAATTATTTACCGAACTATTCAGTAATTTTTTACTGAAATGTCCCGTAAATGAAAATTTGTTGATTTTGTGTATTTTTTGTTTTTTCCGGTGAATTAAAATTTAAATCTCTTTTTGCATTATTATTAACGAGATTTTATTCAATAGTAAACATCTAGGTAAAAATATATTTTAAAATAACATATATTGCTCACTGGAGTATTTTTTCACAGGTGGCTGCTTCCATGCGGATGCCAGTCCAGAAACATTGACTAGAACCTGATCCCAAAAGCACAGAATTCCTGGCTGTGTCTGAAGAGCAATCATAAAAATGAAATAAATGTTACTATCAATCTCATTAGGAATATTTAATAGATGCATTATTCATCTGTATTTGCGAACACACTTACATTGTTTTCACTGGATTTTCTGGTCACTTTCCATTGTTACTGTTTACTTTAACACTTGATATAAATATGACCGTCTTTCGATTGACAGCCCGAAATTATTTACTGAAGTTCGGTAAACGTTTCTGTAATTTGCAGTTTGTTCGGTATTTTTTAACCGAATTCGGCGTTTGCTTTGTTTTACAGTTCTTACTGTAATCTTTTCAACGAAGTTCGTCAATATAAAAGCCAGATTACCGGCACTTCGGTAAAACATTACCGAATGTTGGTAAAAAAAAAATTATTTACCGAAAAATCTGTAATATTCTTCATTTACCGATTATTTTCGGTAAAAAATTACCGAACAAGGAAAATGTTGCTGAGTGTGTATAATGCTGTAGTTGAACAGGTTCTCCAAACCAGTGTAAACAAGAGTTTTACAGAAGTTGTAATAAACAAATTGTACAGTTATTATTCAGCATGCAGTTGAATAAAATCACAATGGAAGCGTTTCTTCAACAAGAAATTGATTTTGGGTAAATGTTTTACTGAATACGTTAGACAACACCTTTGTGTTGCAGTTGTATAGGTTCTCCAAACCAGTGTAAACAAGGGTTTTATAAAAGTTGTGGTGAACACATTGTGCAATTATTATTCAACATGCAGCTGAACAAAATCAAAACGAAAGCGTTTCTTCAACTGGAAATTGTTACTTGGGCAGTTTGCCGGTGTCGAGCCTGCTGCTCATACTGATGCACACAAAACTGAAAAGTGTGAGAAACGAAGATTTAAGTTAGTGAGCTACGTCGATCTACATTGATACTGAGTCTATATTTTTCCTTTGTCCGCAGATACCAACTGACAATCCGACTTTTGTTAGACTACAGCAGAAATGTAGACCCGAGTGTAGATCCTCAAACCTTCGAAAACTCTATAGATAAAATTTCAAAGATTGTTTTTAAGTGTCCCACACATGACTTTTTGCAATGTGATCAACAAATGATATCTGTCGGACACATACTTAATATGTGTACACATAAAAGCCATGTGTAACCACACATACTATTCATTTGACTAATTAATTTCATCTGTGCTTCTGAGTGGATTCTGTTTATGTGTGGTCACATGAAAATCATGCAAAAATTTTATATGGAAATTCGTTAAAAAAAATGTGTGGAATCGTATTAGTGTATGAAGGAAAAAGTTAAATGACGTGTTATAAAAGTCAATCGTGTCGCTGGCATGCCAATAACATGTTCAATTCAAATGCCAAGGGCCCGGGTGCCACAGGGCCAGAAACGGGAACGGATTCCGGTGCCAGCGAAGGAGCCGACGGTGAGTCCGAGGCAGATGACGACGGAATGTCCTATGCGGAAGTGGAAGACAATCCTAACGAACTCGGGCACCATGCTCGGAGCTAATTTGAATTAAATCGCTCTAATTAACAATAAAATATTCGAATGTCACATTTTTTTTTATTATTTACAAAATAAAAATAAAAACAAGCATGCAATAAAATGAATGACAGCAAGGTCAAAACCCAAATACGAAACATGCTATTTATAAAGAAATTTTATACTAAATTCGTATTATCATCCTTTATATCAAGCTATACGTCGGCTAGGAGAGTTTAAAATTAGCGTAACTCTTAATTAATTTAGATTTGATAATCTTTTGAGTGTAGATCATCCAAATTGCCGTCGCTCCTTTGGACGATGAGGGGCAAGCAATGGATGTGAATGATTTATTTTAATTTATTTTATGATTTTTATCAATATATTTGGCAATACTGGAGTGACCCCCGAGTAAACTCAAACGTAAATTACATGAGGGAATCTATCTCTGAGCTGACATGCGCTGTTCTAGATTGCAACATTATTGTTAACATTTTGGTGGATTCTACCAAAATGCGGGTAGGTTTGAAATAACATGTTGGTTGTAAAAAAGTTTAATCGATGCTTACCATTTGCTTGTGTTAAAAATATTTGATAAAACACGCCATTTGGAGCCAACTGATGCAAAACACACCGAATAAATTGATGTGCTACTGATTGGGATCCTCCTGGAAGATGAGTCGCACTTTCACACTGCCACGGAAATGTAGAATGAAGAGCAACTCTAGAAAGAATATAGGTTAATGAGCTAAAAACGAATGAAAAAATAAATATAATCGAGTTACTTGGAAACAATAGCCAAGATATCTGGTAAAAACGGAGCGGCGAGTGATGGTTCTCGATGGATGAATGTACCTAAAATTATAAGCATTATTCCCATCTCTTCATCTGTATATTCTTCTTTAACAGCGCCGCATTCGGAACATCTTTCACAGATGCATTCGTCTCCAACTCTTGACACACTCTGTAAATTTAGAACTAGTAATTAAGAATGAAAATCTTATTAAAAAGTAGATCGATACCGGTTTTTCTGAGCTATTGTTACCCAACTGGGTATCTTCTCCATCTGAGTCCTCTCTGCTAGAAGGGGCCCACAATCCAGCGTATCGCATCGTGCTGTCAGACGTACTTATTGAACCGATGGCGAATGGTCCTACTTTACGTAGTCTTTGTCTAGTTTGTTTGGTTCCATCGCGGCTATGCGCCTCTGTTTTAACATCTGCTGAAACACTTCGTAGAATGGTGTTGTGAGCGTCATCTGCTAGCGGAGGAGATTCCAATGCCACTTGCTTGATTAATTTACGCGGTGAAGCGCAACGACTGCTCAAGTCATCTTTATTGCTGGCAGCACTCTGTCAGATACAAGCACAGAAAACATAGTGAACAGACAATTATGGCTCGAACATATTTTATATAAAAAATAATGTAGGGGAGCGGGGGGTAAGCCGGACTCCTATGCAATAGGATTATTTTAAAATACTAGAGAGCTAAAATTGATATCCAACCTTCACAGAATATTTATCTAGATAATTTTTAATAAAAAGGTTATTTTATTAATTACCGTTCATAACAAAATCTTGGAAAAAGTTGACGTGCATCAACCAGTGCGAAAGGCCCAAACAAAATGTGGGTGCAAGCGCTTCGGAACGACAGCAACCTTGAAAAAGCTCGATCTGAGTAAGGCTACTTGTCGGATTGAAAACAAGTTAGGCTGTGTTCTACTTGGTGAATTCGTTAGATATAAAAGGTGGGGGCGATGTTTCTATCAACGCTGTCACTGCACCTCAATGCTGCCAACGTCAAGGTAACGATCACTTTATCATTCTCTGTCAATAACCGAACAATAAAGACGTGTGAAGCTAATAGTCCGTGTTGAGTGTTATTTCACTGTCGCGAAACGCCATTGGAACTTCGGTCGGTTGTGTGCTCCGTGCTGCGCCACCTGTTGGGTTGTCCGGTTCTGTAACCGGTCCGCTGGTGTCCCAAAGGTTATGGGCCCAGGGCGTGTGGCAGGAGAAAAGTGATTCCGGGACTGTGAATGTTTCCTGAAAGGCATAGTGCGTGAGACGGTTCGGCGTGCGTACATTTTTTTTCGGTGTGGTGGTGGCTCGGGTTGTGTGGCAGCACGCGTTGAATTGTAAAAGTGTGCGTGTCATTTCGGTGGTGACTCGAACGGTTTGCCTTCGGTGTTGGTGTGTGTAAGGCCGGAAGAAATTTGGTTGGACTCGACTCGGTGTGTGTGTGTGTGTGTGTGTCATCCTCTATCCCTCACCCAGCCGGGGGCGTTGGACAAGTAGAACTGCGAATAATTTGATCAAATCTCATGCTCCGTAATGGTGCCCTTTATGTTGTGAAGACTAATACTTTAAAAAGGATAACTTTTGAGGCAAGACAGGGTGTCCTCAGCAAGTCAAGGGAACAGGATGCACTAAATGTCCACAACAGGTACAGCAAAACATCACATAGACGCCCTTATTCACACTAACTACTCAGGGGGTAGAAGGTCAAGAAGAGCCACCGCCGCCAACTAAAGCTTGAACCGGGTACCTGGGACTCCCACGATATACCCGCGGCAATGGTCAGCAGACGATGCTCTGTGCGTATTTAGTATGTAATATGTTTTATTTGGATACACAAAATGTTTGAAGCCATGCGTCATCTAAACCATAATTTGCATCACCACAAATACACTTGTCAACAATCTTCAACTGGAACGTTCTCACCAAATCACTTCACCCGGGAGCGCATTCCCGATGCTTCCACGCATATTTTTTTTTCCCTCCACTCCAACCGCACAACAACCAAATATCACTTTTCTGCACTTTTCTTTTTCAAGTCACTCCGTGCACAAAAGCAATGCACATCTCAAAACCCTGACAATAGAACAGCGCACTTCTCATCGCCGCGTAAATAAACAGAAATTAAAATTTTCACTCGCGATGCCACAAATTTCTGGTCCGGGAGAAACAATCAAACCACGCCAATTTTACAAACATGATGAATCATGTTTTCTTTCTCGATTCTAAAACTTCTCGGAAAGCGAGAAACCTACACTCACACACGTATAACCGTCCGGGAGGCAGAGTGCCAGCGCTAATCCGGCAAATGCAGCCGAAAACTATGAAAGCGAATGCACGCACAAAACAGAGAACGAACTTAACACACGACCGTATCCAAAGGCGTTAGAAACTCGACCAATTCGTTGAAGGTGATTTGTCGCTCAAAAATATCGCCTTCCATAGCGCCAACCTTAGCCAACGAGTCCGCTTTCTCATTACCCGGAATTGAGCAATGAGATGGGACCCAAGCTAAGATGATAGTATAGGAGCAGTTAGATAAAGCACTCAGTTTAGATCGTTTTTCAGGCAGGAAATACGAGGAGTGCTTCATCGGCCTCATTGAACGAATAGCCTCCAATGAGCTAATACCAACAATCAATACGATACTAACGATTTTAAATTGGCTCACTACTTGACTAGCCTATTGGTCCCAAGCAAACGATTAACGTACCCCATTCTAGTCGAAATTCTAGTACTAGACTATCATTTGGTTGGACTCGACTCGGTAGTTTTTTTTGTCTCGTCGTTTGCTTTGTGCGTCGATCGATCGAAGCAGAAATGAGTGAGAAATTTCTATTTGCCCCCCTCAACAACCAAAACTTTTCTGTGTGGAAGACGCGCATGGAAATGTGTTTGAAGCGCGTCGATTTGTGGAGTGCCATAGTGGGAACAGCACTGCGGCCTGGACGAAGGCAGACGAGAAAGCGCTGGCTACCATTGTGCTGTATGTGGAAGACAGCCAGCTTAATCTAAAGCCCTACAGTAAAAGTATGGACATCTGTCAAAAGTTGTTCCAATCGAACCGTCAAAATGCACCGCTTTGCTCGATTGGAACAGCTTTTTTTTCAGTTTTGTGGTGACAGTCGTCCATACTTTTACTGCAGGGCTATTAAGCTAAAGCTCGTGCGTAATGCTACACGCAGAAAAAAATATTTAAACGTAATAATATTTGACGTAAATTTAAAAAGCGTTTCATTTTGTTTTGGCTGCAAAAAGAAATCATTATAATTTCAACAATCCAGTATCTTTGTTTCTAAAAACCCATGGATTGTTAAATCAAAAAGAAAATCTTTTCGAATTTACAAGAGCTTAGACGTAAGCTGTCAAATTTGGCAGCTGGGTCAACAAAAAAATATGTTTGTTTTTAAAAGAGATTTCTTGTTGATTCAATCATGTTTATTTTATTAAGCCTGAAAATATACGCAGTAGAAATAAACATATGTTTATTGATTCATTATTTAATAATTTGCGATAATTTTTATGTTTTGTTTTCTATTTTTAACAAACAGAATAACAATTGCAACCTTTCTGAGGCATAAAATCTCTCCGGTTCATGAGTTGATGGGTCGATAAGTAGGGTCCAGGTGTGGGCGCGGCCTTCCTGGCGTCGGAAGCATTGGTACCCAGTACTGAAAATAAGATCGACGGAAAAAATCAAGGATAAAAAAGAAAAACTGTTTATGTTTTGCAACTGCAGCATACTTGCTTACCTCTAGAGCTGAATCAAACGAGAAATTTTTTGTTATTTTTTACATTTTTGTCCGGGTGAAAACGAGGGAATGGTTGGTAGTTATTTTTGCATTCATGGCCCGGGGAACAGACACAACAAATAAATTTTAAATTTAAATTAACTATTGTTGTCTTAATAAAAGAATATTGTTATTTTTACAATAGTTGCAGTTGAAGAGTGGCTTATTAAAACAAAAATAATCTTGTTTTGAATTTATTTGAATAAATATTATCAAAACAATAAAATGCAATTAATTTCAACCGGAATTATTTGTTTAAATACAAATAAAGGTTTTTTTGGTTCAATGCAAACAATTTTCTGTTTCTGTTCTGAGTTTCGGACCCAACGTGTTCTTGACGTCATTCAAACTGTCGTGTGTGGTCCAATGAAGAACGTAACGCCGAGGGGTGCCCGCTATTCGATGACCATAATAGATTATTACAGCAGGTACACTGTGGTGTGCCTACTGCGGCAGAAAGGTGATGTGGCAGATTGTATTAAACGTTTTGTTGCGCACGTCAAGAACAAGTTTGGTCGGGCTCCATGCGTTATAAGATCCGATGGTGGGGGTGAATACACCAGCCATGAGTTGAAGACATTTTACGAGCGGGAAGGCATTCAGGCGCAGTATACCGCGGCCTACTCTTCTCAACAGAATGGAGTGGCCGAGCGGAAAAACCACTCACTCCAGGAGATGGCCACCTGCATGCTGCTGGACGTAGGATTAGATAAAAAGTACTGGGGATAGGCGGTAGCCACCGCTGCGTATTTGCAAAATAGATTGCCATCTCGTGCTGTTGATAGAACCCCTTTCGAAGGGTGGTTCGGCAAGAAACCTACACTAGCTCATTTGAAAGTGTTTGGTTGTCCTGCGTTCGTCCACATACCGGACGTTAAACGTTCCAAGCTAGACAGTAAAGCCCAGAAGCTGATTTTCGTGGGTTACTGCAGTGATAGGAAGGCTTACAGGTTCTTGAACACCGAGACAGCTGCAATCAACATTAGTCGTGATGCTCGGTTTGTGGAGATTCAGGAGGAGCCACCGACGCTTGGTGGGCTGCCTCCAACGGAAGAACTTGTTGAAGTCGAGATCGCGAGCAACGGAAGTCAGCAGCAAGAAGATGTGTCAAGTCCTGGACAGTATCAAAGCGAGGACGAATCGGAAGATTACACGGATGCCGAGCAGGAACAGCACGATCAAACGGATGCGTCAGTGCAAGAAGGTCAAAAGCGGAGCACCCGAGGCGTGCTGCCAAGGTGGTTCGCCGACTATGAAGTCAACGCAGTCATGTTGGTGCAGGAGGAGCCAGTGTCGTACGAAGAAGCCATATCTGGTCTGGAGCAAGAGTTGTGGAAGGCCGCGATGACGGAAGAATACCAGTCGCTGATGGAGAATCGAACGTGGACACTCGTTGAGCTACCTGCTGGTCGTGCTCCTATAAGCTGCAAGTGGGTATATAAGAAGAAGCACGACAACGTGGGCAACGTGTCTCGGTTCAAAGCGCGACTTGTAGCAAGAGGGTTTTCGCAGAAGTTCGGAGTAGATTATGATGCCGACTTTACGGATTCTCCTAACGATCGCTGGACAGAAGAAGATGTCAGTTCATCACCTGGACGTCAAGTCTGCTTATCTACACGGCAAGCTGACAGAGGAAGTGTACCTGCAGCAGCCTAAGGGATTTGTAGATCCAAAGAAAGAGAAACTGGTCTGCAGGCTCGAGCGCAGCCTGTACGGCCTAAAGCAGGCGGCACGTGTGTGGAACTTTAAGATCAGTTCGATGCTGAAAGAGCTTGGTTTCTTGCAATCGGGATCAGATCCGTGCCTGTACGTGAAGGCGTTGCCGGACGACATGGTAGTCGCGAGCACAACTCAGAAGGAGATCAAGCGAATCGAAGCTGAATTGCAGAAGAAGATTTCTTTGACTTCGCTGGGAGAGGTAAACCAGTTCCTTGGAGTTCGAGTGTCAAGAGACCGTGAAGGGTACTTCTGTTTGGACCAGAACGTTTTCATCCAGGTGCTTGCGCAGCGTTTCGATCTGCAGAACGCGAAAGGCTCAAGTATTCCGCCTGATCCTGGGTATTACCACAGTCGGGTAGGCAGCCCGAAGCTGGACACGAACCAGCACTACCACAGCCTGGTAGGTGCGCTGTTATTTGTTGCAGTGAATACAAGGCCGGACATCACCGCAAGTGTTTCGATCCTGAGCAGGCAGGTTAGCAACCCAACGGAGATCGACTGGGTCGAACTAAAACACGTTGTACGATATCTGCTGAAGACTGCCGACTACAAGCTGAAACTGTCAGCTGCGAACGGTGAACCATTAACTCTCATTGGTAACTGTGATGCAGACTGGAGTGGTGTTCCTTCGGACTGCAAGTCAAATTCGGGATACATGTTCCAGTTGGGAAGAGCTACGATTTGCTGGGCAAGCCGCAAGCAAACAAGCGTGTCTTTGTCTAGCATGGAGGCCGAGTATATTGCACTGTCGGAAGCTGTCGAGAGTTGGTTTGGCTCCGGCAGCTTCTTGAAGAGATTGGGGAACCTCAACGTGAACCCACTGTAGTACTGGAGGACAACCGCAGCTGCATTGATTTTGTGGAAACAGATCGCAAGTCCAGACGCTCGAAGCACATAGATACTAGGATGCACTACACCAAAGATCTAGCTGACAAGGGAGTAGTGGTGCTTCGTCACTGTGGCACAGAGGAGATGGCTGCAGATGTCCTAACGAAGCCGTTGGGTCCTGTTAAACAGAAACGTTTTGCGCTGGTGATGGGCTTGGTCGCTACCGATGATCTGGCCACACCGGCTGCCTGAAGAGAGAACATCGAGGAGGAGTGTTAGATATAAAAGGTGGGGGTGATGTTTCTATCAACGCTGTCACTGCACCCCAATGCTGCCAACGTCAAGGTAACGACCACTTTATCATTCTCTGTCAATAACCGAACAATAAAGACGTGTGAAGCTAATAGTCCGTGTTGCGTGTTATTTCACTGTCGCGAAACGCCATTGGAACTTCGGTCGGTTGTGTTCTCCGTGCTGCGCTACCTGTTGGGTTGTCCGGTTCTGTAACCGGTCCGCTGGTGTCCCACAGAATTTTCACTTAAATTTGACAGTTGGAAAATTTTCAAATAAACCTGCTATTGTACCAGACTTATTTCTGACAGACCAGGAATCAATTTTGACAAACACCTTCTCGAAAATAGGAAGATCAACAACATAGGGATTTTCGAACCTCTTAATTTATTTTCGAATTGTCAAATTTAAGTGCAAATTCACCAAATGGAACACAGCCTTAGAACCAAATCGACTTTGGTTAGGCATCTTGATGTCATTTGCGACAGCTGTCAAACTTTCCGTTTTCGTTCCGCTTTCGCTCAAATTGTGTTTGGGACTTAAGACCGTCACCCAAAAGGGCGGCACTCTTTATTAATCAGTTCCTTTTTTATATATTTTAATTTTAATAAATAGGTACTATGTTTATGAGTCAAAATCAATATTGATAGCATGATGCATTCATGATTTACGCCACCTACACACAAAGAACAAAAAAAAAAAACAATGCATTATCAAATTAAAAGTTTCCCAAAATTTTTAGTTTCAACTATGAACATTTTCAAAATAAAACTTATTGGTTTATAAGTGTTTTTTTCACTTTTGGCTTGTAATTTTAAGAGTGTATTTTTTAGTATAAAAGTTGGAAAACTGTAAAAAAATTCCTTTGCAAAGTTTTTGACAGTATTGGACCTCCGCTTCCCGCCAAATTGGGCATGCGAAAAAAAAAACAAAACGAAAGCAGCTGTGAGAACTAGCATGAGCAGCAGTTTCTCCTACATATTCATCCGCTGGCGCGCGTGGTTCTCTTTTGCACGATACGGATATGAGATATGGAGACATCTGCGGGGACGATATCTATTGGAAGAATCGGAAATATACTCAAGTTGTGGGATTTGAAGGTAAATTGATGTAATTTTCGAAGACTTCCGATTTTACTAATTGATGTGTTTTAATCTTCAGCAGCCTCGTCAGTCTTGCCAGAAAAGAAGGCTACTCCCATCGTTACCATCACCAAATGCATCATTTGCGTAAAATGCTACCCATGGAAGATTCCACAATGCCGTGCTCTTTCAGTAATCATCGAAAATATAAACTAAAATATTTTAAATAAATTTTTCTATTTTAATTTTTTCCAATGAATCAAATTAAAAATAATTCATGTTTGAGATGAAAACATTCATCCTTGCGATAAAAATGTCCATCTTTTAAATTAAATCCTTTCATGAGTCTATCTAAATAACAGGTTTTTATATTGACAGTTCTACAATAGAGATCTCCCAGAGACGTTGATAGAAACGCACAAAGAAAATTTCTGTCAAAACAGCAGCACGGTTTTTGAGGGATCCTTTGGCAATGTCAATGGCAACCATGCTTCTGCGAAAGGCTTCAAATGACTTTCATACAGTGTCGCAATGCTGTTTAGAAAATTTGAACGTTGCCGTACTCTAACGGAACTATCAACTCTATACTTTCATCTCCTCATCTATCGCATAAAAATTACCACTCTAGTCTGTTATTTGAAATTAGCATCTTCAACTATGTAAATCAGAAATAATACAAAACAAATAGTTAAAGTATTTTTGGTTGAATAAGTGACTATTTTGTTGAATTTTGTTGGGAGAAATATTGTGTACGGTTGGCTAATTAGGCATTACATCAATTTGTTCATGTTGTGTGTTTTGTACACAGGTAGATTGAGAATGAGGTGACGTCACTGGACTTGAACCATTAATTACTTACGTCTGATATATCGAGGCTGCCGTGTTTCAGGTGACTTATATCGGAAATAGTCAATGCTTCTCTTACTTTGTCAACTAACGTACAAATACCATCTTTACCATATTGTCCTATCGGTAATAATCGTTCAGGAGTAGGTATTTCTAACTGTGCAATACTTCTGGGGCTCAACAAAGTTTCAGCAGCTTCCGTCGTTGGCGGTATCATGAGGTCCATTTTGGATAAAGGTGTTTCTGGGGAGGCATAGTTTTGGCAACGATCGAATTGCCTAATGTCGTTTTTATGGAAGGGTTTTGGAATGTCCTCTTCTATATTCAGTGAAGTGTTATTGTTAGAAATTGGAGTGCTTGCTGGTGTCAAACTGGGCTCAATTATCCGTTTCTGTCGACCTAACGTTTTAAGTGCGGGTGATACGGATCTTTGTTCAGACCAATTTGATGAGCTATCATAGCTACACGCTAACGGCCTGGCTTCGTCAAGCGGATGTTGCTTTTTATTTTTACCATCACTGTATTCTTCGCCTAGAAGAGATAAAAAAGATTTTTTAAACTGCGTCTCAAGCCTAAAACATTACCCGGGAGTTATAACTGAATAGTTCGACAGAAATGTTTTGTGTTATGATCCACCAAAAAGAAGCTATTTAAAAAAAAAATAATATTTGAAAACCTCCCTTTCTAAATAGCTTGGTGAAAGGTACACCGGGGCAAGTGGGAATACGAGGAAAGTGGAAATGGAGGATATAACTCATTTTAGAGCAACCGTAACGGTACGCTGCTGAACTCATTTTAGCAGCCCTCATCATAGCGCAGCTACCGTATCGGGGTTGCCATACGAGTAACTAATAGCGTATTCGTTTATTATTCAGTTCCAACCTGGATCGGGTATCAAGATTGGGTCTGCTTGTTTTCTGACAAACGTCAGTTTGCTCGTTTGTTTTTAAAACCTAGCTCAGGTTGAGGTTCACACTGACAAAAAGTTCGGTTTCGCACTGGGTTGGAACTGGTGTTAACCCCGATAATAAACGAATTCGCTATAAAATAGCACTCGGCTTCTCGGTGAGAAGCGCGTTACCAAATTTAGCAGCGCGGGAGAAAGGTTGCTATTCGTAGAAATGTCAAAATGCTCACTACCGGTACGGACAAAGGCGAGTAAATTGAAAACCGCGATTGCACCGACCGGTGTGGAGAAGAGTGACCAAACTAAAATGAGAACGCTGTGCGCTGTTAAAATAGTCGTGCAAATGACAACGACCGTTACGGTTGCTCTTAATCGTAATTTCTAGGGTTAAACCTACACGGTAAGAAAAAAGTACCCAACGGCCAGTTCACTTTTACCTACTTTTGACTAGTTAGTCTCCTTTTCTCCTTCTAATGTTGTCAAAAACGGAGGAGCAAAACCACCCAACAGGGGTAGTAAAGTGTGGGAACTCAAAGTTGAGTATAATCATATTCACCTACTGTTGGGTACAACTAACTTACTTTTGGTTAAAAAGCCAGTGGAAAATTCCATACGAACTGCACACAAGTAAATGAAAATTACTTTGACCCGCTTTACCTACTTTTGGGTTCCTGCACTATAGTGCCGAGTTGAGTGAAAAGAACTTAATTTTGGGTACTTTTTTCTAACCGTGTACTTTTTATACAAAAAAAAAATCATTGTTTTCAACCACATCTCCAGGGTGCATTTTTTTTGTCAAAAAATTACTTTTAACTAAAAACTTTACTTTTAACTAGCAAATAAAGGTGAGCGCATTCATATTTATGCAGCATTTTGTGATCATTTATAAATAAATTTACATAATAAAAATTACTAGTTTTAACGAGTTTAAAACGAGTCCCAGGTGCGACGGTATTTTGTAGCACCCGGAGCAAGTGAGAACTATCTAAGCAATGTGTTCGAACCCGATGCTTTCGCTTCTTTTTGAGCATGTCGTGTACATTTGTAATTTGTTCTGTTCAGAAATATCACATTTAAATCTAATATGATCATCTGTCACTACCCACACGCGGCTGGCAATTTGCCAACAGTCCGCCAGTGGATGGGGCCGACAACCAGCGGTCCACCATTCATCCGCCAGCAAACGGATTTGCAACATTTGAGCGGATAAGGCGAAAACGATACCTGTCAAAAAACTGATCGTTTTAGCCATTTTGTCCGCCCTTTGTTCGCCCCCATCCACCCCGGTGCGCTCCCCGTCCACATACAGCGGACGAGTCACCAGCAGCGCACACACGGACCGCCCGGCGGACTTGGTAGGAACGCTCCCGTATCCCACACGTATCAATATATTGACACCTGGGTACTGCGGAGTCGTTCGATTTCATTTTGCAAGCCAATGGAAAACTGCTTGAAAATTTTCTTAAGTTTAAAATTGTTTTGCTCGTTCTCAGTTGATTCCCGCCAAAAGCTCTGACCAGGAGGACTCGAGCCCCCATGACTCTATCAAAGTTTGTTTACATACATGTTTTGCCAAAGTATGTTTTACTGCAATTGAAAAGTCAGCTGAGTCATAAAAACTATGCTGGTTTTTGTTATTTCATCACTGAGCCTACTGGTTTTTGTCTATGAGCTTAAAATTAAGAATAGGTTATGAAAAAGTAAGGACAATTTTTATGAAATTACAATTCTTGACGATGGATATGAACAGTAACTGCATTTGCTGCTTCTGAATGTTTGGCTCCCGTTTGACAGTTCACACTGGCTTCCAAGTGACAAGCACATTGAGTAAGTCCCTAGGGGAAGTACAACTTGATCTGAAGTAATATTTGGTGTAAAAATTGCACAAAATGGTAGTTATTATAGATTTTAGTATAAATATTAATGATATTAACTGTCAAGCGGAAAGCTAAAAAGCATAAAAAAAATTAACAGTGTAACTTTAACGCATACATTCAATCACGTTTCACCGTTTATGTTTATGTTTACTGTAGCTTTCTGTTGTTCATCATTTTTGCCTAGATTTTCGTTTTTCTTAGCTCTGATCGTTTTCGGCATCGGCTCTTAATGATAAAAGCGACACTGGACGCTCCCCCAGCAGCAAATCTCTCCAGGTTACAGGCTCATGGCGAATTGAGAGTAATATGACCACGGAAACATCACTCTGGGACTCCGTTTACAGGGACGGCGTAGTTAGTCGATTCCCGTTCCATCGGAGGACAGTATATTGATTCGCAGACTTGGAAATTAATGGCTATTTCCTGGGAACGGAAGTGTGGCCGAATTTATTAGAACAAGGAGCGGATTTCGGTGGCGGTGGCCAGCACGATCATCATGGAATGACTTGCCTCTCGTGTGAAATCTATTTTTGATTAAACGAATGTCAAATGTACACTTAAAACCAAACATAGTCAAACACAAACAAACAACTGTCAGACTTGGTATAAGATTCGCAAATATCACACATATTAAAATATTTAATATTTCCACCATCGGTATTGATGCCGATACTTGGAGCTGTCCTTCCCCTAGGTAAGTCCACAATAATCAGATTGACACGAACCCCACACGAAGGGGAATTATTGACAATAATATTGCTGATGTGAATACATAAATATTGTCAATATCAATTATCAATATCAATATCGAGCGAGGGGCACGCAATTGCCTTTTTGCCTGCGTTGGATTTAAAGTACAAGGTGTTCAACCACCGACAAACCGACATGAAACTTAAACTTAACTCTTGATCGAGAATCCATAACGGCGGCTTCAAATGTGCAGCGATCCTATCTGTCAAAACCATAGAAATTTGTTATCTAGATAAAAATAATTTGCTCGGAATTAGGTTTCGCACCGTCGGGGTTAACCTCAATCTGATGACAGTTCAGTGGTACTGTTTACGTGGACTTAGTCCATTTTTTTTTGGGTAGATTTTCTGGATATTTTTTCAGATTGCAGTGAGATGTAAACCACACTTCTGCATTGTCCACGAGCAACATCCTTTCACCACGCATTTCCTCGATAATTTTCAAGTTAAAATTCGGAAATTTTAAAATATATTTTTTTCGAAAAAACGACTAAGTGTCTGTAAACAGTACCACTGAACTGTCAAAAAGGTTCAGCCGATTAACACTGAGTTCATTTGTGACGTCACGCTGCAGTACCTAATTAGGTTTTGCACCGTCGGGGTTAACCTCAATCTGATGACAGTTCAGTGGTACTGTTTACGTGGACTTAGTCGATTTTTTCATGGGTGGATTTTCTTGATAATTTTTCAGAGTGCAGAGAGATGTAAACCACACTTCTGCATTGTCCACGAGCAACATCCTTTCACCGCGCTGTTCCTCGACAATTTTCAAGTTAAAATTCGGAAATTTTAGACTTTGTTTTTTCGAAAAAACGACTAAGTGCGGGTAAACAGTACCACTGAACTGTCAAAAAGGTTCAGCCTATTAACACTGAGTTCATTTGTGACGTCACGCTGCAGAACCTAATTAGGTTTTGCACCGTCGGGGTTAACCTCAATCTGATGACAGTTCACTGGTACTGTTTACGTGGACTTAGTCGTTTTTTTCTTGGGTAGATTTTCTCAATAATTTTTCAGACTGCAGTGAGATGTAAACCACACTTCTGCATTGTCCACGAGCAACATCCTTTCACCGCGCTGTTCCTCGACAATTTTCAAGTTAAAATTCGGAAATTTTAGAATTTTTTTTTTTCGAAAAAACGACTAAGTGCTTGTAAACAGTACCACTGAACTGTCAAAAAGGTTCAGCCTATTAACACTGAGTTCATTTGTGACGTCACGCTGCAGAACCTAATTAGGTTCTGCAGCGTGACGTCATAAATGAACTCAGTGTTAGCCGGCTGAACCTTTTTGACAGTTCAGTGGTACTGTTTACAAGCACTTAGTCGTTTTTTTCGAAAAAAATATTCTTAAATTTCCGAATTTCAACTTGAAAATTGTCGAGGAACAGCACGTAGAAAGGATGTTGCTCATGGACATTGCACAAGTGTGGTTTACATCTCACTGCAGTCCGAAAAATTATCGCGAAAATCCACCCAAGAAAAATTCGACTAAGTCCACGTAAACAGTACCACTGAACTGTCATCAGATTGAGGTTAACCCCGACGGTGCAAAACCTAGTTCAGTGGTACTGTTTACAAGCACTTAGTCGTTTTTTCGAAAAAACAAATTCTAAAATTTCCGAATTTTAACTTGAAAATTGTCGAGGAACAGCGCGGTGAAAGGATGTTACTCGTGAACAATGCAGAAGCGTCCCGAAAAAAAAATTACAGTGAAATTTTCAGTGGAAACAATACTCTAACATAAATATTTATTGTCGACAATTAAAATGATTGTTATAATGTTGTACTCTTCCGAAAACGGCAAAACTGCTACCTAGCTGTACAATGAATGTACATAATAAAATGTTGTAACAATGTTTTTTATCGTATTTTTCATTTATTTTATTGTTAACATGATTCGATCATGAACAATAATGAACAATTCTATTACAATAAAAAATGTTGTTACATTAAATATTGGTGTGTTTTCATTGTGGGTTACTTCACGAACAA